TTACGATAATTTTATTGTTTTTATATTTTTATTATTTTATTGTTTCCCTTCTACGTGGTGGTGACTTTACCGAAAGAACCAAGAATAATAATTTTATTGTTTTACAATAATTTTATTGTTTTATATTTTTATTATTTTATTGTTTCCCTTCTACGTGCTCACTTTACCGAAAGAACCAAGAATAATAATTTTATTGTTTTATATTATTATTATTTTATTGTTTCCCTTCTACGTGGTGGTGACTTTACCGAAAGAACCAAGAATATGAATCCCTGCAGTCACGAAAGCTTTAAATCGAAATAATAATTGTGTGTGTGTGTGTTATTTTTAACCCCTTTCTGGCAGTAATTCAGGAGGTTGTGTCAAGACGTTCTAACGCCCCGTAGATTATAGCTTTTGTAAGGAATCAAAGCTGCCCGCGTGAACCACACACACGCACACACACACACGCGCGGTGCTTGTGAACAAGCATACGACACGTGACTTATACATCGTGAGACTTCCTTTGCCAGCAACAAAACATGAGAATGGGTATCGATTTTGAAGCTTTCCCCGACTGCGGGGATTCAAATCCTCGGTTCTTTCGGTAACAAAAAAAAAGAAAACACAGAGCCGTCTTTTTAAGAGACTCATAGACACCCACAGAGACTCATAGACACCCACAGAGACTCATAGACACCCACAGAGGCGCATAGACACCCACAGAGACTCATAGACACCCACAGAGACTCATAGACACCCACAGAGACTCATAGACACCCACAGAGGCGCATAGACACCCACAGAGACTCATAGACACCCACAGAGGCTCATAGACACCCACAGAGAATCAGAGACACCCACAGAGACTCATAGACACCCACAGAGACTCATAGACACAGAGACTCAGAGACACCCACAGAGACTCGTAGACACCCACAGAGACCCATAGACACCCACAGAGACTCATAAACGCACACAGAGACTCATAGATACCCACAGAGACTCATAGACACCCACAGAGACTCATAGACACCCACAGAGACTCATAGACACCCACAGAGACTCATAGACACCCACAGAGACTCATAGACACCCACAGAGACTCATAGACACCCACAGAGACTCATAGACACCCACAGAGACTCATAGACACCCACAGAGACTCATAGACACCCACAGAGACTCATAGACACCCACAGAGACTCATAGACACCCACAGAGACTCATAGACACCCACAGAGACTCAGAGACACCCACAGAGACTCAGAGACACCCACAGAGACTCAGAGACACCCACAGAGACCCATAGACACCCACAGAGACTCATAAACACACACAGAGACTCATAGACACCCACAGAGACTCATAGACCCCCACAGAGACTCATAGACACCCACAGAGACTCATAGACACCCACAGAGACTCATAGACACCTCCAGAGACTCATAGACACCCACAGAGACTCATAGACACCCACAGAGACTCATAGACACCCACAGAGACTCATAGACACCCACAGAGACTCATAGACACCCACAGAGACTCATAGACACCCACAGAGACCCATAGACACCCACAGAGACACCTACAGAGACTCAGAGACACCCACAGAGACTCATAGACACCTCCAGAGACTCATAGACACCCACAGAGACTCATAGACACCTCCAGAGACTCATAGACACCCACAGTCTTTTTAAGACGCCTCTCTGTTCCTTCACCTGAGGACGGCTGCTTGCGTTGTGGCTCAAAACGTCGTGATAATTTTTTTTAAATTATGCAATGTTTTAAAAATATATATATTTAAACTTCATTACTTCCCCTTTCTACGTCGTGACTTTACGGAAAGAATCCAGGAAATAAGAACGGGGGTTTTAAACCCCCGTTCTTATCTTTCTGGCAACAAAGCTGAATCGCGTTACTAGCATTCACCACAATGCTTGCGGTCAAAATGCAAACACAAGCACCACACTCTGATAATGAATGACGCGTTGTCCTTGATACTGTTCGGTCCACAGCAGAGGCACCTTCATTTCTTTTGAGGCTCGTCTCAAAAGACGATGTTTGGCGTCCTCTGGTCTAGCACCGTAGAGACTCATAGACACGCAAAGAGACTCATAGACACCCACAGAGACTCATAGACACGCACAGAGACTCATAGACACCCACAGAGACTCATAGACACAGAGACCCATAGACACACACACAGACCCATAAACACCCACAGAGACTCATAGACACCCACAGAGACTCATAGACACGCACAGAGACTCATAGACACCCACAGAGACTCATAGACACAGAGACCCATAGACACCCACAGAGACTCATAGACACCCACAGAGACCCATAGACACACACACAGACCCATAAACACCCACAGAGACTCATAGACACCCACAGAGACTCATTGACACCCACAGAGACTCATTGACACCCACAGAGACTCAGAGACACCCACAGAGACTCAGAGGCAGCCACATAAACTCATAGACACCCACAGAGACTCATAGACACCCACAGAGACACAGAGACACCCACAGAGACTCATAGACACCCACAGAGACCCATAGACACACACAGAGACCCATAGACACCCACAGAGACTCATAGACACAAACAGAGACTCATAGACACCCACAGAGACTCATAGACACCCACAGAGACTCATAGACACAGAGACTCATAGACACCCACAGAGACTCATAGACACCCACAGAGACTCATAGAAACCCACATAGACTCATAGACACCCACAGAGACTCATAGACACCCACAGAGACTCAGAGACACCCACAGAGACTCATAGACACCCACAGAGACCCATACACACACCCACAGAGACTCATAGACACCTACAGAGACTCATAGACACCCACAGAGACTCATAGAAACCCACATAGACTCATAGACACCCACAGAGACCCATACACACACCCACAGAGACTCATAGACACCTACAGAGACTCATAGACACCCACAGAGACTCATAGACACTCACATAGACTCAGAGACACCCACATAGACTCAGAGACACCCACAGAGACTCATAGACACCCACAGAGACTCATAGACACCCACAGAGACCCATAGACACCCACAGAGACTCAGACACCCACAGAGACCCATAGACACCCACAGAGACTCATAGACACCTACAGGTGAACGTTACAAGGCCAATGCCACTATCAGAGTACCTATAGCTAGGGGTGAGCACCTACTCTTCTACAACGTTTTCTGACGAGGGTCAAAAGATAGCTGTCTCTGGTGTGGACCGATCAGTTTCAAAGACAACGCCACATTTATTATCCGAGTGTGATTCCGGCCGCAAGTATTCTGGTGAAACGCAGCAACACGATTCCTTGTAAGAGGTTTCAGTTTTGTGTTTTAACATCTTAACACGGCTGTTTTGTATTTAAAGCTTTCGTGACTGCAGGGATTCATATTGTTGGTTGTTTCGGTAAAGTCACCGCCACGTAGAACGGGAAACAATAAAATAATAAAATTATTGTAAAACAATAAAATTATTATTCTTGGTTCTTTCGGTAAAGTCACCACGTAGAAGGGAAACAATAAAATAATAAAAAATATAAAACAATAAAATAATTGTAAAACAATAAAATTATTATTCTTGGTTCTTTCGGTAAAGTCACCACCACGTAGAAGGGAAACAACAAAATAATAAAAATATAAAACAATACAATTATTATTCTTGGTTCTTTCGGTAAAGTCACCACCACGTAGAACGGGAAACAATAAAACAATAAAAATATAAAACAATAAAATAATAAAAATATAAAACAATACAATTATTATTCAAGATTCTTTCGGTAAAGTCACCACCACGTAGAACGGGAAACAATAAAATAATAAAAAATATAAAACAATAAAATGATTTAAAACAATAAAAATATAAAACAATAAAATTATTTAAAACAATAAAATTATTTAAAACAATAAAATTATTTAAAACAATAAAATTATTTAAAACAATAAAATTATTTAAAACAATAAAATTATTTAAAACAATAAAATTCTCACGACGTTTCGACTGCAGCACGAGCAGCAATCATCATCAGGTGCTGTTTAATATTATTTTATTAGTTTATTTTATTATTTCCCTTCCACGTGGTGGTGACTTTACAGAAAGAACCAAGAATAATAATTTTATTGTTTTACAATAATTTAATTGGTTTATATTATTTTATTAGTTTATTATTTCCCTTCTACGTGGTGGTGACTATACAGAAAGAACCAAGAATAATAATTTATTGTTTTACAATAATTTTATTGTTTTATATTTTTTATTATTTTATTGTTTCCCTTCTAACGTGGTGGTGACTTTACCGAAAGAACCAAGAATAATAATTGTATTGTTTTACAATAATTTAATTGTTTTATATTTTTATTATTTTATTGTTTCCCTCCTACGTGGTGACTTTACCGAAAGAACCAAGAATAATAATTTAATTGTTTTATATTTTTATTATGTTATTGTTTCCCTTGCACGTGGTGACTTTACCTAAAGAACCAAGAATAATAATTTTATTGTTTTACAAGAATTTTATTGTTATATATTTTTATTATTTTATTGTTTCCCTTCTACGTGGTGGTGACTTTACCGAAAGAACCAAGAATAATAATTTTATTGTTTTACAATAATGTTATTGTTTTATATTATTTTATTAGTTTATTGTTTCCCTTCCACGTGGTGGTGACTTTACAGAAAGAACCAAGAATAATAATTTTATTATTTGACAATAATTTTATTGTTTTATATTTTTATTATTTTATTGTTTCCCTTCTACGTGGTGGTGACTATACCGAAAGAACCAAGAATAATAATTTTATTATTTTACAATAATTTAATTGTTATGTATATATTTTTATTATTTTATTGTTTCCCTTCCACGTGGTGGCGACTTTACCGAAAGAACCAAGAATAATAATTTTATTGTTTTACAATAATTTAATTGCTTTATATTTTTATTATTTTATTGTTTCCCTTCTACGTGTGGTGACTTTATCGAAAGAACCAAGAATAATAATTTCCTGTTTTGTAGCCAGAAAAAAGAAATGGGGGAAACATTTTCTCAGTAATAATAGTTTGTTATCCTTTCTGGATGTGACGTTAAGATGTGGGGGGGGGGGGGGAAGAGCTTCAAAGATTTTCTGATTTCAACCGCGGGACGAGCAAATAAATAAATAACAGTGCGTATCGCGGCCTGTAAAAAAATCGAAGTCGATTTTCTTTGGATCGATTCCTCAGCCACCAACCCCCTCGTCGACTGCAACGGCGGAATTGAAAGTAGCCATCAGGTCCAGCCAACAGGAATCGATTCAACCCCCCCCCCCCCAACGTTTGAAGGGGAATCGATTCAAACCTCCCATGGTGTTTGTCGCCCGGATCGATTGGCCATGGATGCCGTAAAGAAATTAACGCATTCTAAGCCGCATCAACATCAACAACATCAACAACAACAACAACATCATCAACAACAACATCAACAACATCAGAGGCTTGCGCAAGTCACCGCTAAAGGGTAAAGCAAAGCCGGCCGGTTACTTTATAACAACAACAACAACAACAAACAATTCTGAGGGGATATACATTGAGTATATTTTGTTGTTGTTAAGTTGTTAATTGTTGTTAATTGTTGTTAAGTTGTTGTTGTTTAGTTGTTGTTAAGTTGTTGTTATGCGGGGAGGTTCATTGTAAGTTGTATTTACAAACAGCATCGATGTAATAAAAAAAACATTAGCATTTTAAACGCAACGTATGTTAGTTACATAATTGTTTTCATAGCAACAACAGTGTATAAGTTGTGAGCGACTCGGTTTAGTATAAGGAATAATAATTACGTAGCAACGCTGGGTCGTTATAACGATATTTTTTTTCCCCATATCTTTTTAAAAAGTTATAATCGCGAAAGTAACTCCGTTTTTGTTTGTTAAACGCCACCCCTCGAGTAATATCTCACAGTTGCGCGCGCGCGCGTATATATTTATATTCGCGTTTATAAAAGTTTTAAAGTTTTTAAAAAAATATATTTTAAATAATAAAGCGTTTGGCCTAGACGGAGCCTGTTCCTCAAGGCCTCCGTTACCATGGCCACGAGACGCCCGCGCGCCACGTGACCGCGAGTGACGTCATCGGTCGCGGGGAGGGGGGAAGGGCGTTGTGACGTCATTTGTCAATTGACGGTTGGGTGACGCGCACAGAGACCCATAGACTCACATAGAGACCCGTAGACTCACATAGAGACCCATAGACTCACACAGAGAACCATAGACTCACATAGAGACCCATAGACTCACATAGAGACCCGTAGAGTCACACAGAGACCCATAGACTCACATAGAGACCCATAGACTACTCATAGAGACCCATAGACTCACATAGAGCCCACACAGAGACCCATAGACTCACATAGAGACCCATAGACTCACATAGAGACCCATAGACTCACATAGAGCCCATACAGAGACCCATAGACTCACACAGAGACCCATAGACTCACATAGAGACTCACACAGAGACCCATAGACTCACATAGAGACCCATAGACTCACATAGAGACCCATAGACTCACATAGAGTACCATAGACTCACAGAGAGACTCACACAGAGACCCATAGACTCACACAGAGACCCATAGACTCACACAGAGACCCATAGACTCACATAGAGATCCATAGACTCACATAGAGACCCACAGACTCACATAGAGACCCATAGACTCACACGGAGACTCCTAGACTCACATAGAGACCCATAGACTCACATAGAGACCCTAGACTCACACAGAGACCCTAGACTCACACAGAGACCCGTAGACTCACATAGAGACCCTAGACTCACATAGAGACCCACAGACTCACATAGAGACCCATAGACTCACACGGAGACCCGTAGACTCACATAGAGACCCGTAGACTCACATAGAGACCCCTAGACTCACATAGAAACCCATAGACTCACATAGAAACCCATAGACTCACACAGAGACCCATAGACTCACATAGAGACTCACACAGAGACCCATAGACTCACATAGAGACCCATAGACTCACATAGAGACCCATAGACTCACACAGAGACCAATAGACTCACACAGAGACCCACACAGAGACCCATAGACTCACATAGAGACCCACACAGAGACCCACACAGAGACCCATAGACCCACATAGAGACCCATAGACTCACACAGAGAACCATAGACTCACATAGAGACCCATAGACTCACATAGAGACCCTAGACTCACACAGAGACCCATAGACTCACACATAGACCCATAGACTCACATAGAGACCCTAGACTCACACAGAGACCCATAGACTCACACATAGACCCATAGACTCACATAGAGACCCATAGACTCACATAGAGACCCATAGACTCACATAGAGACCCATAGACTCACATAGAGCCCACACAGAAACCCATAGACTCACACAGAGACCCATAGACTCACATAGAGACTCACACAGAGACCCATAGACTCACATAGAGACCCATAGACTCACATAGAGACCCATAGACTCACATAGAGTACCATAGACTCACACAGAGACCCATAGACTCACATAGAGACCCATAGACTCACATAGAGATCCATAGACTCACATAGAGACCCACAGACTCACATAGAGACCCATAGACTCACACAGAGACCCGTAGACTCACATAGAGGCCGTAGACTCACATAGAGACCCATAGACTCACATAGAGACCCATAGACTCACATAGAGACCCTAGACTTACACAGAGACCCTAGACTCACACAGAGACCCGTAGACTCACATAGAGACCCATAGACTCACATAGAGACTCATAGACTCACACAGAGACCCATAGACTCACATAGAGACTCACACAGAGACCCATAGACTCACATAGAGACCCATAGACTCACATAGAGACCCATAGACTCACACAGAGACCCATAGACTCACACAGAGACCCATAGACTCACACAGAGACCCATAGACTCACATAGAGACTCACACAGAGACCCATAGACCCACATAGAGACCCATAGACTCACACAGAGACCCATAGACTCACATAGAGACCCATAGACTCACATAGAGACCCATAGACTCACATAGAGACCCATAGACTCACACCAGAGACCCATAGACTCACATAGAGACCCATAGACTCACATAGAGACCCATAGACTCACACAGAGACCCATAGACTCACATAGAGACCCATAGACTCACACAGAGACCCATAGACTCACATAGAGACCCATAGACTCACATAGAGACCCATAGACTCACATAGGGACTCACACAGAGACCCATAGACTCACATCGAGACTCACAGAGACCCATAGACTCACATAGAGACCCATAGACTCACTCACATAGAGACTCACACAGAGACCCATAGACTCACATAGAGACCCATAGACTCACATAGAGACCCACACAGAGATCCATATACTCACATAGAGACCCATAGACTCACATAGAGACCCACACAGAAACCCATAGACTCACATAGAGACCCATAGACTCACATAGAGACTCACACAGAGACCCATAGACTCACATAGAGACCCATAAACTCACATAGAGACTCACACAGAGACCCATAGACTCACATAGAGACCCATAAACTCACATAGAGACTCACACAGAGATCCATAGACTCACATAGAGACCCATAGACTCATATAGAGACCCATAGACTCACATAGAGACCCACACAGAGACCGATAGACTCACATAGAGACCCATAGACTCACATAGAGACCCACACAGAAACCCATAGACTCACATAGAGACCCATAGACTCACATAGAGACTCACACAGAGACCCATAGACTTACATAGAGACCCATAGTCTCACATAGAGACTCACACAGAGACCGATAGACTCACATAGAGACCCATAGACTCACATAGAGACCCACAGTGTGTCTCTATGAGTCTGTGTGTGTGTGTCTTTATGAGTCTGTGTGTCTCTATGAGCCTGTGTGTCTCTATGAGTCTGTGTGAGTGTCTCTATGAGTCTGTGTGTGTGTCTCTATGAGTCTGTGTGTGTGTCTCTATGAGTCTGTGTGTGTCTCTCTGAGTCTGTGTGTGTCTCTATGAGTGTGTGTGTCTCTATGAGTCTGTGTGTCTCTATGAGTCTGTGTGAGTGTCTCTATGAGTCTGTGTGTCTCTATGAGTCTGTGTGTCTCTATGAGTCTGTGTGTGTGTCTCTATGAGTCTGTGTATCTCTATGAGTCTGTGTGTCTCTATGAGTCTGTGTGTGTGTCTCTATGAGTCTGTGTATCTCTATGAGTATGTGTGTCTCTATGAGTCTGTGTGTGTGTCTCTATGAGTCTGTGTATCTCTATGAGTCTGTGTGTCTCTATGAGTCTGTGTGTGTGTCTCTATGAGTCTGTGTGTGTGTCTCTATGAGTCTGTGTATCTCAATGAGTCTGTGTGTCTCTATGAGTCTGTGTGTGTGTCTCTATGAGTCTGTGTATCTCTATGAGTCTGTGTGTCTCTATGAGTCTGTGTGTGTGTCTCTATGAGTCTGTGTGTGTATCTCTATGAGTCTGTGTATCTCAATGAGTCTGTGTGTCTCTATGAGTCTGTGTGTCTCTATGAATCTCTATGAGTCTGTGTGTCTCTATGAGTCTGTGTATCTCTATGAGTCTGTGTATCTCTATGAGTCTGTGTATCTAAATGAGTCTGTGTGTCTCTATGAGTCTGTGTGTCTCTATGAGTCTGTGTATCTCTATGAGTCTGTGTGTGTGCTGCTCCTAGGCTCAAGGCTGTTGGGGCCGGCACCGGCGTGAGGCCACCGCCGGTTTCCCGGCGTCGCTCCTCAGCCGCTCGGCCACACCACCTCACCATTCACGGGTGTGTCCGCGGGGACAGGGAGACACGTGTCCCCCTGTACACGTGTCTCCGTGTGTCTCCCTGTCACATGTCTCCGTGTGTCTCCATGTCCACGTGTCTCCGTGTGTCTCCCTGTCACATGTCTCCGTGTGTCTCCCTGTCACATGTCTCCGTGTGTCTCCATGTCCACGTGTCTCCGTGTCTCTGTGTGTCCACGTGTCTCTGTGTGTCCCCCTGTCCACGTGTCTCCGTGTCTCTCTCGTGTCCACCTGTCTCTGTGTGTCTCTCGTGTCTCTGTGTGTCCGCCTGTACACGTGTCTCCGTGTCTCTGTGTGTCTACCCTCGTGTCTCCGTGTCCACGTGTCTCCGTGTCTCTGTGTGTCCCCCTGTACACGTGTCTCCGTGTCTCTCTCGTGTCCACCTGTCTCTGTGTGTCTCTCGTGTCTCTGTGTGTCCGCCTGTACACGTGTCTCCGTGTCTCTGTGTGTCTCCCCTCGTGTCTCCGTGTCCACGTGTCTCCGTGTCTCTGTGTGTCCCCCTGTACACGTGTCTCTGTGTCTCTGTGTGTCTCCCCTCGTGTCTCCCTGTCCACGTGTCTCCGTGTGTCTCCCTCGTGTCTCTGTCTCTCTGTGTGTCCCCCTGTCCACGTGCCTCTGTGTCTCTCTCGAGTCTCTGTGTCTACCCTGTCCACGTGTCTCTGTGTGTCTCTCTCGTGTCTCTCTCGTGTCTCTCTCGTGTCTTCGTGTGTTTCTGTGTCTCTGTGTCTCCCTGTCCACGTGTCTCTGTGTCTCTTGTGTCTCCGTGTGTCTCCTTGTCCACGTGTCTCTGTGTGTCCCCCTGTCCACGTGTCTCTGTGTCTCCCCACGTGTCTCTGTGTGTCTCCCTGTCCACGTGTCTCCGTGTCTCTCTCGTGTCTCCGTGTCTCTGTGTGTCTCCCCTCGTGTCCCCCTGTCCACGTGTCTCTGTGTGTCTCCCTGTCCACGTGTCTCCGTGTGTCTCCTTGTCCACGTGTCTCTCTCGTGTCTCTGTGTCCCCCTGTCCACGTGTCTCTGTGTCTCCCTGTCCTCGTGTCTCCGTGTCTCTCTCGTGTCTCCGTGTGTCTCCCTGTCCACGTGTCTCTGTGTCTCTCGTGTCTCCGTGTGTCTCCCTGTCCACGTGTCTCCGTGTCTTTCTCGTGTCTCCGTGTCTCTGTGTCTCCCCACGTGTCTCTGTGTGTCTCCCTGTCCACGTGTCTCTGTGTGTCTCCCTGTCCACGTGTCTCTCTCGTGTCTCTGTGTCCCCCTGTCCACGTGTCTCTGTGTCTCCCTGTCCTCGTGTCTCCGTGTCTCTCTCGTGTCTCCGTGTGTCTCCCTGCCCACGTGTCTCTCTCTCGTGTCTCCGTGTGTCTCCCTGTCCACGTGTCTCCATGTCTCTCTCGTGTCTCCGTGTCTCTGTGTCTCCCCACGTGTCTCTGTGTGTCCCCCTGTCCACGTGTCTCTGTGTGTCTCCCTGTCCACGTGTCTCCGTGTGTCTCCTTGTCCACGTGTCTCTCTCGTGTCTCTGTGTCCCCCTGTCCACGTGTCTCTGTGTCTCCCTGTCCTCGTGTCTCCGTGTCTCTCTCGTGTCTCCGTGTGTCTCCCTGTCCACGTGTCTCCGTGTCTCTCTCGTGTCCACGTGTCTCCGTGTGTCTCCCTGTCCACGTGTCTCTCGTGTGTCCGTGTCTCTGTGTGTACCTCTGTCCACGTGTCTCTGTGTGTCTCCCTGTCCACGTGTCTCTGTGTGTCTCCCTGTCCACGTGTCTCTGTGTGTCTCCTTGTCCACGTGTCTCTCTCGTGTCTCTGTGTCCCCCTGTCCACGTGTCTCTGTGTCTCCCTGTCCTCGTGTCTCCGTGTCTCTCTCGTGTCTCCATGTGTCTCCCTGTCCACGTGTCTCTGTGTCTCTCGTGTCTCCGTGTGTCTCCCTGTCCACGTGTCTCCGTGTCTCTCGTGTCTCCGTGTGTCTCCCTGTCCACGTGTCTCCGTGTCTCTCTCGTGTCTCCGTGTCTCTGTGTCTCCCCATGTGTCTCTGTGTGTCTCCCTGTCCACGTGTCTCTGTGTGTCTCCCTGTCCACGTGTCTCTGTGTGTCTCCTTGTCCACGTGTCTCTCTCGTGTCTCTGTGTCCCCCTGTCCACGTATCTCTGTGTCTCCCTGTCCTCGTGTCTCCGTGTCTCTCTCGTGTTTCCGTGTGTCTCCCTGCCCACGTGTCTCTGTGTCTCTCGTGTCTCCGTGTGTCTCCCTGTCCACGTGTCTCCGTGTCTCTCTCGTGTCTCCGTGTCTCTGTGTCTCCCCACGTGTCTCTGTGTGTCTCCCTGTCCACGTGTCTCTGTGTGTCTCCCTGTCCACGTGTCTCCGTGTGTCTCCTTGTCCACGTGTCTCTCTCGTGTCTCTGTGTCCCCCTGTCCACGTGTCTCTGTGTCTCCCTGTCCTCGTGTCTCCGTGTCTCTCTCGTGTCTCCGTGTGTCTCCCTGTCCACGTGTCTCTGTGTCTCTCGTGTCTCCGTGTGTCTCCCTGTCCACGTGTCTCTGTGTCTCTCGTGTCTCCGTGTGTCTCCCTGTCCACGTGTCTCTGTGTCTCCCTGTCCTCGTGTCTCCGTGTCTCTCTCGTGTCTCCGTGTGTCTCCCTGTCCACGTGTCTCTGTGTGTCTCCCTCGTGTCTCTGTGTCACCCCCCCACGTGTCACCCCCCCCCCCACGTGTCACCCCCCCACGTGTCATCACCACGTGTCATCACCACGTGTCATCACCACGTGTCATCACCACGTGTCATCACCACGTGTCCCCCCCACGTGTCATCACCACGTGTCATCACCACGTGTCATCACCACGTGTCATCACCACGTGTCATCACCACGTGTCACCCCCCCACGTGTCATCACCACGTGTCATCACCACGTGTCATCACCACGTGTCATCACCACGTGTGTCCCCCCCACGTGTCATCACCACGTGTCATCACCACGTGTCATCACCACGTGTCATCACCACGTGTCATCACCACGTGTCATCACCACGTGTGTCCCCCCCACGTGTCATCACCACGTGTCATCACCACGTGTCATCACCACGTGTCATCACCACGTGTCATCACCACGTGTCATCACCACGTGTCATCACCACGTGTCATCACCACGTGTCATCACCACGTGTCACCCCCCCCACGTGTCATCACCACGTGTCATCACCACGTGTCATCACCACGTGTCATCACCACGTGTCATCACCACGTGTCATCACCACGTGTCACCCGCCCACGTGTCATCACCACGTGTCATCACCACGTGTCATCACCACGTGTCATCACCACGTGTGTCCCCCCCACGTGTCATCACCACGTGTCATCACCACGTGTCATCACCACGTGTCATCACCACGTGTCATCACCACGTGTCATCACCACGTGTCATCACCACGTGTCATCACCACGTGTGTCATCACCACGTGTGTCCCCCCCACGTGTCATCACCACGTGTCATCACCACGTGTCATCACCACGTGTCATCACCACGTGTGTCCCCCCCACGTGTCATCACCACGTGTGTCATCACCACGTGTCATCACCACGTGTCATCACCACGTGTCATCACCACGTGTCATCACCACGTGTCATCACCACGTGTCATCACCACGTGTCATCACCACGTGTCAGCACCACGTGTCATCACCACGTGTCATCACCACGTGTCATCACCACGTGTCAGCACCACGTGTCAGCACCACGTGCCCCCCCCCCCACGTGCCCCCCCCCACGTGCCCCCCAGGCTGCCCAGGGAGGTGATGCTTCAGGTGATGTCTCTGCTGGACGTGCCGGCCCTGCTGCAGCTCTCCACTGTCGACCGCCACTTCAGGGAGCTGGCCAGTGACAAGTACGCACTCAGCAGCATCATCAGCAGCAGCAGCATCAGCATCAGTAGCAGCAGCATCAGCAGCATCATCAGCATCAGTAGCAGCATCATCAGCATCAGTAGCAGCATCAGCAGCAGCATCATCATCAGCATCAGTAGCAGCATCATCATCAGCAGCAGCATCATGAGCATCATCATCAGCAGCATCATCATCAAAGCATCATCATCATCAGTAGCAGCATCATCAGCATCATCAGCATCATCAGCATCATCATCTTCATCGTCCACATGTTCAGCAGCAGCAGCAGCATCATCATCAGCAGCAGCAGCAGCATCATCATCAGTATCATCAGTAGCAGCATCATCATCATCAGCAGCAGTAATAGCATCATGAGCATCAGCATCATCATCAGTAGCAGCATCATCAGCATCATCATCAGCATCATCATCTTCATCGTCCACATGTTCAGCAGCATCATCATCAGCAGCAGTAATAGCATCATGAGCATCAGCATCATCATCAGCATCATCATCAGTAGCAGCATCAGCATCATCATCAGCATCATCATCAGCATCATCATCTTCATCGTCCACATGTTCAGCAGCAGCATCATCATCAGCAGCAGCAGTAATAGCATCATGAGCATCATCAGCAGCATCATCATCATGAGTAGCAGCATCATTATCATCAGCATCAACAGCAGCAGCAGCATCATTATCATAATCATCATCAGCAGCAGCATCATCATCTTCATCGTCCACATGTTCAGCAGCAGCATCAGCATTAGAATCACCACCACCATCACCACCACGTCCACTACCATCACCACTACCACCATCACCACTACCACCATCACCACCACCATCACCACCACCATCACCACCACCATCACCACCACCACGTCCACCACCACCACCGCCATCACCACCACGTCAACCAACATCACCACCACCATCACCACCATCACCACCACTATGTCCACCACCGCCACCACCACCATCACCACCACCACCACCACCGCCACCACCACCATCACCACCACCACCGCCACCACCACCACCACCACCACCACCGCCACCACCACCATGTCCACCACCGCCACCACCACCATCACCACCACCACCACCATCACCACCACCACCACCATCACCACCACCACCGCCACCACCACCATCACCACCACCACCACCATCACCACCACCACCACCACCGCCACCACCATCACCACCAACAACACGACCACCACCACCACCGCCACCACCACCATGACCAACACCACCACCATCACCACCACCACCACCACCGCCAC